GGCTGGGTGGCAGTGTACAATGGAAGGGTATTAGCTCCAGCTGGTAGCTTGGCACATGCATTGCTGTGCCTACCCTGGAATGAACATGGCTCCTGGGAGTCTGGCATTGGCAGGCCTTGTTTGGGATCCTGATCGGTGTCATGTTGGGTACATCATGCTAGGATCGCTTAGTCTTTCTGAAGTAACTATTTTCTGTCTTTAATTTCCCTTTAAGGAAGAAAAAAGGCTGAGAGCATCGTACATACACGCAGAGGAGAGCGAGAGAGAGAAGTTTGCCCTTTTTTCCGCCTCCGTCAGGGAGAGTCACGAGAAAGAGAGGACCAGAGCTGAAAGGACTAAGAACTGGTCGATAATCGGATCGGTTCTAGGGGCGATCATCGGGGTGATGGGATCTACCTACATCAATCGTGTCAGACTGCAAGAACTGAAGACTCTGCTTCTAGAAGCTCAGAAAGGACCAATCAGCTTACAGGAAGCCATACAGGAGCACGCCTCTGTGCATAAGAACCAGCAGAGGGACCTGGGCGAGCTCATTTTAGCGTTAGGAAATGTGGTACCGACTGTGCTGCCTTCGGGCCAAGAAACACAGAGAGGAGGGTCTGCGATTCCAGTAAACTCCTCGGGCTCAGCGGATCAGGCATTAAAGGCAATTAAAGAACACACGACCTACACTAAGGAAACTGGGAAACACTTCGAACATTTACAGCAGCAGTACAGCAACCTAGAAAAGAGTATTAACAAAATAGCAACAGATGTGCAAAACGTCAAGTCGGCGGTTTCCACGCGGACTGCGGCGCTGCCAGTTACCGCTTACGTTCCGAGGGGTGGAGGGGAAGAGGCACCCCTGCAAAATGTCATTTTTGAGTTGGCTGATGCAGAGGAGAGACTGGGAACAAAGATAAACAGGAATTCCATATACAGCACTGCGCTGACGTGTACTGTGATGGCATTAACCCTTCCTGTCATGTATGTCCTTCTTAAAGGGAACTAGAAATAAAATTGTGCTTCAAATCTTTATTTTAAAAATCGTCTTTGTTTTAATAATATCATTGAAAGCTAAATGCAAAGATGAAATACATACAGGATATGGGAGCTGAAGGATTAGGATTACCTGCGTTGTGTTGTGAATGGGGCACATAGAACACAATTGATTTCCGTGTGCACATGAGGTCACTGACGTGGTTCAGATGCTGAAAAATGCCAGTCACCACCAGGGGCGTAACTAGAAATCACAGGGCCCCATAGCAAAATCTTGTATGGGGCCCTGTGATTTCTAGATAATTCCGCCTGATAACCCAAACAGCCCACCTGAGGGTGACCCTGCAGAGCCCACCATAGACTCTCTATGGTGAGCTCTGCAGGGTCTCAGGCGCGGCGGTCAAGCCTTCTTACCTGTCTGGCCGATCCTCTGTCCGCCTCCTCCCCCACGATCACTTGCGGGCTCCGCCTCCTCCGTCACTGGGCCCCACCTCCTCGATCGCCGGGCCCCACCTCCCCATCGCTAAGACCTGCTTCCTCGATCGCTGGGCCCCGCCTCCTCCATCTCTGCCGACGACGGGCCCAGCCACCTCCCCCGAAGCTGCTGGTTGGCATCGACTCAGCAGCTGTGAGGAGGTACGAGCCGCTGCACATGTGAATGGCTGCGTGTTTCTACTCATAGCCGCTAGTGACAGCCAGCAGCCTGAAATGCCATAGCAACCCAGGCGGCCCGCACGGCATCAGGGGGATGTCCTTGCTGGGCCCCCCTGTGCCTCGGAGCCCCATGGCGGCATTCTGGGTCGCTATGGTGATTGTTACGCCACTGGTCACCACCTATAGTGTGAACGGGCTCTTGAAGAATACAGTATTATCGCTTCTCCACCCCCCACTGGCTGGACAGTGAAGGAGAAGCAGCAGACTGATGAACTCATCCCTCTGCTCTCTTCTCCCATCAGCGTGTTCCTTGTCAACACATTTGCATGCAACACATTGAACTATCTCCAAGTCCTGCGCTGTATATACTGGAGGCTGATACCAACTCCGATTGAGGTACATAAGTTACATTAAAACAATTATTGTAATGAGTACAGAGCTGCATTCGAGTATTTGATATGTGCCTGAAGTTCAGCTTTAACATTCCCTAATATAAAAAATTCTAGTCCTCTCCTCCAAAAAACTGCGATGCAGCAAAGGAACATACCATACGTCTCGTTAGGGATATCTGTAAAAAAATAAGTCAAGGCAACTGGACTGGCTGTATTTTTCTTGAAGACGTTTCACTGGTCATCCGACCAGCTTTCTCAATTCAGAATGACACACAAAGTCATTCTGAATTGAGAAAGCTGGTTGGATGGCCAGTGAAACGTCTTCAAGAAAAATACAGCCAGTCCAGTTGCCTTGACTTATCTTTTACAGATATACCATGACCTGGATGAATGAGAACCTTCACAGACATACTTGTCATTAGAATGCACCGGATACGGATACTAGTATTGGTATCGGTGCCGATACAGAGTATTTGGGTGACTAGTCGTCCTCGCCAAAATGCTCCATTACTTACCCCCGATACCGGAATTTACGGTCAGAGGCAGGGAGATTTCCTCTAACCGGCAGTGCCGCGAGGGAACATGGAGCCGGCTACCCGCACAATCGGGAATTTGCGGCAGGTGATGACCCACTGCCCTTCTTCCTGATTGTCCAGGTAGCCGGCTCCATGCTAGCGGAAGTGCCGGTATTGGTACTCTGTATTGGCGAGTACCGAAAGATAAATATCGGTACTTGATACCGAAAAAACGGTATCGGTGCATCCCTACTTGTCCTATACGATAATGGCTTATGTTATATGTGCTCCTTGGTGTAGGGGAGGAGAAGGAATCCAAATGTCTGCCTGTACGGCAGTGTTTCCCAACTTTTTCTCAGTCATGGCACCCTTTAAAAGCAAAATCTGGAGGCACCCAGTCTAAAATGTTTAAAAAAATGACCTGTGGATCCTAGGTAGGGGTCTAGAATTGATTTTAAGGGGGACCCCATGCAAAACGTAAAAAAACAACAAGGAGTTCCTCCCATCACATCAAAAGCACCCCCCAACCTTCCCATCAGAGTCCTACCTTATACACTTCACCACAATGTGACTACAGCAGCATGGCAGAGGGTGGGAGGTGGAGCAGGTATAGAGAGAGGTGGTCTTCTGTCCTTACCTGAATGCTGGGGAGGTCTTGGATGCAGCTCGCCCTGGACTAGCGCCATGCATTTCTACAGGACTACAGGAGTGTAATGCATTTCACCTGCACCATAGAAATGCATTACACTGTGCAGAAATTTGAAGGCACCTCAGATATTGTGGTACCGTGGTTGAGAAAGGCTGATGTATGGGATCCCTATAGAATGGGCGTCATTGAACGCAGGCGGAACATTCCATGGACAACGCTCTGTCCACAATTTAGTACAATAATTTCTTCTTGGCCTACAGTATCCGTTATTAGAATGACCGAGCTGTATCTGTTCTAAACATTCATTTTGCCTCTCCGCCATTGTATGTTATGGGTCAGAAAAACACCTTACAGCAGATATAACTCATTTTATTGTAAGTATTAGACATGGCTCAGAAAGAATTAAGACAGGAGCCAATTAACCTAGCAGCATTTCTTTGGACTGTGGGAGAATACCGGAGTACCCCAGAAAACCTACGCAAGCTAAGGCAGAACATGCAAACTGCTTGCAGATAGTGTGCAGACCTGGATATGAACCAGGGACCCCCAGTGCTACAAGGCAGAAGTGCTAACCATTAAGCCTCTGTGCGGCCCCAATTTGTAAACAATTCACAGGGCCCTTCTCCCTGCGAATATCTGTGAATGTTCTTTTTTGGTGAATAATGCCAAAAACAAACGTTCTTAATATATTTTTTTCCCAGTTCTAATGTAGTGTTTTGTAATAACACATTCTGGCCACCAGATGGAGCCGAGGAGCATAGGCAATAAGTATTTATTTTCTATTCTCAGCTCCATCTAGTGGCCGTAATGTGTTATTGCAACACTACATTCAAACTGGGAAAAGAATTAACATTGTTTGCCAAAAAAAAGTTAACGTACACAGATATTCAAAGGACAAAGGGCTCTGTGAATTGTTTATAAATAGAACAGTAAGTCATGTCATTTC